GACTGGGACTGGAGCTCCTAGTGTAACAGGAGTGTTCTACTGGACTGGGACTGTAGCTCCTAGTGTAACTGGACTGTTCTACTGGACTGGGACTGTAGCTGCTAGTGTAACAGGAGTGTTCTACTGTTTTGAACCTATGTGGTACCTAAACATTTTCAGGAGAAATCCTGAGTTAATATACAGTGTGTTGTATATATCTGGGTAATGCTGAAGTTAACATTTGGAACACTTTTCAAATATCTTTCTAACTTCTTTAAACTAATTTATTGCACTTGTATGGATTTTCTTCTATTTACACATCATTGTCACCGGTATATGGTATAGGTAGCCCTGAGTAGGTGTATCGGCGAAAATAATCTTAATTATCGTCCGCATCATCTGTCCGCGAATGGGGTGCTGGGATCAGTGACGTCAGAGTCACCTGTGACGACTTTTGATTGGATGTCAAAGAGCAAACGCACGTGAGCGCTGCGTGACGTCAGGACGCGTTTCATTACGTTCCAGTCGGCACGGGGCCTTCCCGTGACGCACGTCCTGTCTTAGGGGCGCCGGGTACGAGCTCCGTGGTCGGGTGTCTGTGCTCTCCCAGTCCTGACCCGACAGCAGGTGGGAGAGCGCGCGTCCCGGGCTCGGCGGTCTCGGTAGTGTCCCGTCTGCGGCTCTGTCGGTCTCAGTCGTCTTCACAGCCCCCTGCCTCCACTCCAATAAAGCACACGCCTCCTCTCTCTGTCCGCCTCTTCCTCCGCCTCGCCGGGCAGGGGAAATGCCCCCCTCTCTCCCTCTCTCCCTCTCCGTGTCTCCCCCTCTCCGTTTCGTTCGCTCAGACTCGGAGGACGGAACAGCCGTGGGACTGAGCGAGGGAGGAAGGAAGAGAGAGAGAGAGAAGGAGGGAGAGAGGAAGGAAGAGAGAGAGAGAGAGGAGGAGGGAGAGAGCGCTCGTGGCCTCACTCGGCTCCGCTGGAATTATGAAAAATGCGGCCATCGACAGAGCGCTTCAGCTTCGATTAGCACAGATAGGACATGACAGGCCGCGATCAATAGCTATACCGTCCTATAACGTGTCAACTAATGAATCAATCTCGACTAAATTTTCCATTTTTCAAAAGCCGTCGCGAGAGACTAGAATATCCTCTTTTGTAAAGATATTATTATCGATTTTGGCGGCAATTTGACATCGGGGGTAGTTAATTCCACTCCAGAATAAAATTGAAAACACTTGAGATTGAAGTGAGAGGGAGAGAGAGAGAGAGGGAGGGAGGAGGCCGGTAAATGGAAAGGGAAGAACAAGCAGAGATGTTGTTGACTCGGTAAAGAAAAAAAGACAGAAACACACAGAGACCCGAGGACAAAACACAGACTGACAGAAACACACAGAGACCCGAGGACAAAACACAGACTGACAGAAACACACAGAGACCCG